AAAAAAAAAAAAAAGAGCCTGCTAGATTATTGCTCCCCTGTAAAGTTAGTCATTCATTATGAAGGTAAGAATACTATCTCTCAGGGAGTTGCTGTGCAAATACTGTCACCCACAATTTTATCATCTAACTAAATAGGATTTTTTCATACAATGGTTTTTGCTATGTTATTTACTGAGTGGGGATTTTTCTGACTAGTTTTTTTTTTTTAACATTTATTAATTGTAATTCTGTTGGGAAGAATTGTTCTTTCTCCCCATTTATTCAGTTGTTTAGTTCAGAATGGATCCATGCATCTTAATGTTATTCTGTGGGTTATATTATTATATAATAATACTATTATTATTATTATTCAGTTTTTTTCCAGTTGTCTGTTATTGGCATTGGGAGCTCCATGTCATTGCTGCTGGAATTTCTCAACAGATAAAACTAGGAAATATGTGCATTTCCTATATCTTACACACACATTTATCTAACATCTGTGTATTAAAACCGTGAGTTCATAGCAATTCATCAGTCTCCTCGCCCGCTTATAATCACTGGTTCAGTTCCCGTTTCATAATTACCATCTCATACCTCTGTGAGAAATACGTTTAACTAGAGTATAATATTTGTGTACAATGGTAGCTCTGTCATACATAGTCAGAAAACACTGTTTCTGAGTTTAGTTCTTTGTACTTTGTACTGTTTCTAGTCCCATTCTCACAGAGAAAATAGTTGATTTGGGTTTTTGTTTTGTCTGTGTAACATTACTATAGTTCTTAGAGATACATAGAAAAGTATTCCTATTTTTTCTGTTTCCATTTTTACATCATATTCTCAGTAGGTAAACAATTTCATTGGTGTTTGGATTATCCATCTTGTATTTCTTATGCACAAATGAATAGAGACATGTATGTTTTCTTATGTTTCCCTCATTGGTAAATATTTCTTTTAAAGATTAGATTTGAAATTGAGTGATTTTCGGTTTTGTTTAGCACAGGCAATGCTTATTTAATATAAAATGTGATAATTATTTATAATAAAATATAATTATTATTTATCATTATTTGTTGTTAGTTTATATTTGTAAGATGAGCCTTGTACTTTTTTCTTACTCATCCTACTTTACAGAAGTAATGGGGAAAAGAACTGAACTTTAAGTGAGGACTGATGTTTTTTCTCAGAGAAAAGGATGCTAAAAGTGTAAAGCATTGTCATTTTTTAATAGTCCAAGATATATTCCTTGTACCATTGGTTCAGTAGGAAACACTTTCTTTTTCTTGAAGTTTTGCAGTCACCAGGATTGATGAGTGGTACATTGGCCTGACAAGGGTTTGGGGGCAGAGAGTAAAGAGATGGATGCTGAGAAGAAAATACTGGATCCACAGTATTAAATACTGACTAATTAAGACTTTTAAAGTAAATAGAGCTTTAGATAAATAAGTTGAATTATAAAGATCTATAAGACTGTGATTACAATTGCTGTTTGTTTAGATGCATGTTTTCAGCAGTGTTAGTAAGTATAAATCTTAGGTTCAGATCATTGGACTTGTAACAGCATTGTGTTTGTTGAAATAAAACATAATAATTATATAACTTCTCCTTTATCATCAACTTACAGACATAGGAAAATGAGGCACATGGCCCCATTTTACATAAGGAGAAATTGAATCTAATAAGTAACTTGGTGGAAGTGAAATTTTCAGAACCATGCACTCCAAGTGTAGTACTGTTATCCAACAGAGTCACTAATTTATCTTAAGCCAGGCATAAAAATTCCTATCACTTAGTTAACATTTTTATTTTGATACTGTTTGTCAGAAAGGGAATAACTAACCAAAACCCAACCCTTAAATTTTCTAGCCGAATAAATGTGTTTAAAATAAAATGGTATTTCAAGCAGGTGTGATGTGATGTGAATTGAATAACAAAGTAAAACCTCATACACATATCTTAAAGGTAGAGTTTAATTTTATTGTGCATTTTTAAGTGTGAGCCTCTTTGTATTTACCCTTTTACTTTCTTTACCTTTTGGTAAAACAAATCTAGCGATTCTCAGGCCCCACAAAAGCACACCCTTCATAAAACCTTAATTTAGTTTTTCTTCAAAGGCTTTGTTACACTTAATTGTCTGGCTAACAGGGAGGAGTGATGAATCAGACAGATGCTAGCTTTATATGAGTAACAACTTTGAATGTCATTGCCGATTTAATCATTTTATGCCATACACCTGTCCTTTGAGTCAAGAAAAATGTTCAGTAACCCTCCTCTGACTCTTAAGATTATGCCAAAAGTAATCCCCTGTGCCCTTGCTTTGAAGAGAAGGGGGTTATTAAAAGCATTTTACCTACCACATTAGCTTTTCTGCTCTTCTTTTTGGCTGTGGGATGCAGAAACTCTTAGGGTACATCAGAACACACAAAATTCAGATAGAAGCTTTTTTATTGATAACCCCTGTTCTCTGCTCAGGGCAATCATAGATTCGTTCATCCTTTTTCAGTTTCCTATTGGAGGGGTAGGTAAGATACCTGAGTCATGCTTTAATTTTCTGAAAACACTATAATGATGTGAACCATTAAAGTAGTTACTGATAAAGCCTAAATTATTTGTGGATTTAACATTTCTTAAAAGTTTGTTAATATGTTCACACTTTTCAGACTTCAGGATAGGGAGTGTTCACTTTGTCTCATGTGAATGTATATAAAAGTTCTGAGTGAAATTACATATTTGTGAGTTTTTAAAATTTTTTTCTTAAATGGAACGCTGAGATTGGGGTTACTATTTTAAACCCTTTTGCATTTGAGAATAGGTGAACCTACTTGCTCAAATCCTGTGCATTTTTTAAAAATAGTTTTTTAGTTGTAGGTGGACAAAATACCTTTATTTTATTTATTTATATGTGATGCTGAGGATCAAACCCCATGCCTCACACGTGCTAGGCAAGTGCTGTACCCCTGAGCCACAACACCAGCCCAAATCCTGTGCTTTTGGGTTTTAGATTGATTACAGGATTTTCTTCTAAATATCCATTGCTTCCTTGTATGTCTGGGATTGGGATCTTGGTAAAGTTCCTCTTTGATGTTTATGGTTTTGATCTCTGTGAGCTTCTGTATTCTTAACATTTCTGCACTAAATCAGACCTCTGTCACAACTTAATGCTAAAAGCTATATTTTAAGTGAATTTAAAATTAACACCTATTCTTCATATTAGAGTATACCAGCAAAAATTTGATAGAGTATTTTTGTGTTGAAAGGAATCTTCTTCATATTTAGTATACCTGAAGTCACACAACCTGAATCTTTTTTTTTTTTTTAGTCCTTTTTATTGTTGGTAGTTTTTTGTCATGTTGTAATGTTTGTTTATTCTTTATGAGGTTCCTCTTACTGTTTTGTTTTTAACATAAAAATATAACCTAATTATAAGGAAAACTTTCGGTTCTAACACTTTGTTCATTATGTGTATACATACATTTTAGTCACTAAAACTGTATTTAAAATATTTTGCATTTACTCCATTTCCTAAAACAATTTCTGTGAAGTTTTTTTTTTTTTTCCTTTAAATACTCTCCTGGCATGAGAAGAAGAAATATCTTTTATGATTCTTTTTGACATTTTGATTTGGTACACTGCAATTTGTAATTATGCCTCAGATACTGAGCATTTAGGTTATTGACGAACTTTATAAGTACGATTCAATTATCTTATAGTTCTTGCTGTTTAATACCATGTTGCTTTCCAAGGAAAGTCAAAACAGTTTAAGGGTATGAATCTGTGTGCCGTTTTGATTTGGTTAAAGAATAGTAACATTTTATCCTGGAAGGTGTCCTTGCAGTTAAATCTCTATACTCCTTGCCAAACAAAACAAAACAAAATTTTTATAGCATTGATTAATATAATTAAGACATTTGTGATACCTTAGTAGATGTTCAGGGTATCTAACAAGGAAAACATTTCCCCAGTGTTCACTTATTGTAGTATACTTACATGACTAGTCTGTTTGTATACTTACCTTGAGCTGGCTTTTGGGGTTAATTTGTATTAAATCTTTTAAATTATCTTCCTAATCTGTGTACTTACTTTATACTTATCCAGGACTGCTTTCAGGACTGTAGATCCTTTGGTCTATTTTCTTGGAAGTGTGAATATCAGAAATAGTTCTGTGATACTTAGAAGAAGCAGGTGGGATTTCAACCTCAAAATACTGACCTTAAATTCAAGGGTAGCAATTATAGGAAGGAGAACTTCAGAACATCCCAAAGCCAGATCAAATGTAAGGGGATAAAGGCAACAATCTTTCTGAGATATTTCACCAACCCCAGAACCAGTGGATAGCTTGATAGCTTTATTGTCTTACAGGCTTTATTCCCTGTACTTGAAAGATGCCATGTGACTCACACTAATAACTGTTCCTGATTTGTTTTGAGTATTGAAATTAAAAACCTTTACATAATTCTTACACATCTATCTTATTTCATCTTATATTCTAAGCATATTTGATTTATATAGTCTGAAGTCAGTATCTGTCAATTAGATTCATTAGATATTTTGATTTTGTTTCCTGCAAAAGAATAATCTATATATACACACACACACACATACATACATATACACACAAAAAATGCAATTCTTGGAAATCAAGTTTCCACCATACACCATAAACAGATAATAACTACATTTAATTTTTTCTCTTAGTTGCCTTGATACTGGTATTACTCTATACTCTTTGACCCTTAGCATAAGGTTCATGTTACTGCGTAATTGTTTGGCTATAGTTCTCTTCCACAGATCATTTCCTTGTCAGTAGGCCTTTACTACTTTTAATCTGATAAATATTTATGTTCGTCATTCTTCTTTGTTTCAAAGCAAAAGCTAATTTCCCCTCAGTTATATGAGTTTTACTCAAATTTTCAAGTCGGTCATGAGAAATATTCGGTGCTTGCCATAAATGATATGGTGCTGCTTTTTAGATAGGGGTGTTATTGGGTTAATGTTAATGTGTATTTACTTTTTTCTTATTCAGATTGAATCTGTTTCTCAGCCACTGGAAAACCATGGTGCCCCTGTTGGTCCTATTTCAGAGTCATTATCTACCAAATCATGTGGAGCACTGAGACCTGTCAATGGAGTTATTAACACGTATGTTTTATGCCTTCTACTTCTTATACTTAGTAGGCTTGTAAAAGGTGAATTTGTTATCTCTAGCCAATACTGATCCTGATTTGAAGAAGCAGAAGCTTTATCATGGATTAATATTTTGCATGCTTCCTACTATACCAATATATTTATGTATTTCTCTCTTATCTACCATGGTCTAAAAGGGCCTGGACATGGAGGGAAAAAAAATAGTATACAATTATTTTACATCATTATTATTGGTCCCAAATCTTAGAGGAATTCCTCAAAGAAGTTTACATAAATACCTCTGTGGTAGAACAGATTAATTCCCCAAGGCTGTGTTTGTAAATCTGTGTATATGAAGGTTCACAGAACCCTAAACAAATGAACAGTATATATCCCTAGAATTGAAGATTCACAGGTATGCTGATTCTAAGGCAGCTCATTAACATTTGCAGATTTCCATCATTTTCTTACCAGTTGTAATTATCAAGACTTTTTAATCACGTTTGTGTTGAGGAAAACCTAATCACAGGAACTTAAGATTACTTACTGACCTTTGTACTTTTCAGACATAATAGAGTAAATGTACACCAAGAACCTTATAAATAAACACAGACACAGCAACATACTTAGATTAGTGGACCTTATCCAGAAATGACCTGCTTCCGCTGTAGAGCACTAGTTTATGTTTGTGAACATTTGCTAGTAGAGGAGGTTGGACCAATTATTAGAGGCTTTGTTTCCCATGTTTTCTAAAAAGTGAATATTTTTCCTTCCCCTGTGTAGTCTTCAGCCTGTCTTGGCAGACCATATTCCAGGTGACAGCTCAGATGCTGAGGAACAATTACATAAAAAGCAACGACTGAATCTAGTTTCTTCATCATCTGATGGTACCTGTGTGGCAGCCCGGACACGTCCTGTACTGAGCTGTAAGAAGCGGAGGCTTGTTCGACCCAATAGCATTGTCCCTCTTTCTAAGAAGGTCAGTACCAGAGAGATTTGGTCATTGTCAGTGAGCCAGGTGCTAAGAGGGATTAATTAATCTCATACCACCTTTGATTTGCTTAATTTAAAGGTTTTTCAAACTTGGCTAACAACCAAGATTTTCTAGAGAGCTTTAAAAATATACTAGGTTCCTGGGCCTTGTTTTCTAGAGAGTCTGATTCAGTTGCTCTGGATTGGAGCTGAAAGTTATGTTTTCAAAAAGCAAAACATTGTTAGGTGATTGATTCTTCGGCCAGATTTGGAGGAGAGTGTACTTTCTCACCTGCACCGTTTTCACTGAAAATGGCAGTGTTGAAGGCTTTGTCTTTAAAGACATGTTACTAAATGAATGTTTATCTTCACAAAGAAAATGAAGATTAATTCACAGTTTCGGGGAACTTTTTATTACTGATTCTTTAGTTAGCAGAGTTTGTACTCTTCTTAAACTAATAAAATAATACTCCAGTAAAATTGGTACTATGCAGTGGCCAAAAACATTGACTTCAAACATGATTCATTTTACTTTGAATTATGGTCTTCTGCCACCTAGTAGTTTGGAAGATGTTAGCCCCTCTCACCCTTTCTCTTTTCCAAAACCTAAGAAAACTCATAAGATTGTTTGAAGATTGATTGATATGCGTATAACCTGCTTACTAGGGTGTATGGTTGATAAGATCCTAGTACAGAGTAGTTTACCACTTTTGATTTTGTTCATTCACTCATTCTCTGTGTACTTATTGAGCTACAATGAGCTAGATGTTTTCTGAGTATTGGGAATACAATACTAAATTAAAAACATAAAAATATTTACTCTCATGAAGCACATCAATTAATGAACTATATAATATGTCATATAGCATTAAATAGTGGGGCAAAAAATGCAACAGGAAATAAGAAAATGCTGGGAAGCTCAAATAAAGAAGTAGTTTGGGGATTAATTAGATCCTGAGAACGTACAAGACACAGAGCTATGAAAGATGATGAAGAAAGGGCTCAAAAAAGTGACACTTGAAGCAAAAAGAAAACCAAGAGAGCATGGTGGGGAAAGGAAGAAAGTGTTTCAGAGAGGAAAGTAGTGACCATGTGAGTCAGATGCTGTAGACAGTTTAATAATAAAAAGACTGACAGGGCCAGAGATGTTTTGGTGACCTTGATGAGCACTTTTGGTAGAGGGTGAAAAGGGGTGAAAGCCTGTTTTGAGTGGGTTCAGGAAAGAATGGGACAAAAAGAATTGAGGGAACCATTAAGAAAATCTTTCAAAAAATGTTGCTATAAAGGAGAAAGCAGAGTAGCCTGTTTGAAGGACAGTCTTTCTTAAGGGGAACTATTGTAGTTTATTGGCTGAGGACAGAGGAGGGGAATGAGAGACAGTTGCTGGAATCATTAATATGGACAGTGAATTTTAAATACTTGGTTTGCTTTGCATGATCATAGGCAGGAAAGTATTATGAGAATTGACTGTCTGGCAGTATATTTCTCTCTGGTCTTTTCTTCAAACTATACTTAAATAACAAAATAGAAAAGAATATAATATTTGGCAGGATTTTTATATTGATATTTGAGTCTCTTGACTTTTTTATTCATAGTCATAAATCTGAATGGTTTTCTGAGAGATTAAAGAGTAATAATAAGAAAACAAAAAAGGGGGAAAACTGTACATTACTATCAAATGTTAGGAAAGTAACTTTTTTTGTCTTGTCCTTGATGCTTTTTAACAGAGTGCTTTCTCTCGTAACCTCATGGAAAATGATATCCTTCCTCTGTTTTGACAATTTGCCAGTCATGGTGTCATGACATCTAGGAAATGTTTTAAAAAAATAAATAATTCACAAAGAAGGTGTGGATCCCCCCCACCCCGCCACCCCCAAAGTAGCAGACCTGATTCAGGCTTAAAAAGTCTTATACTTTTGAAGGTGCATAATAAAATTATTACTGGGAATGGTATGCCTATAATCCATTGGCTAGAGAATCACAAGTTCAGGACCAGCTTCAGCAACTTGGCAAGGCCCCAACTTAGTGAGACTGTCTCAAAATAAAAATTTAAAAGGGGAGAAGAGGGCTTGGGGATATGACTCAGTCTCCCTGCGTTCAGTTCCCAGTACCCCCATCTGATTAAATTTAATTAAAAAACAGTTGAGGCAAAGGGTGAAGAATGCCATTTTCTAAAACAGTCATCCTGACACACAAAAATTAGTTACACAAAAAATAAATCAAAGAAATAAACTGACTTTGGGTAGTGAACCATTTACGAGGTAAAGCAGAAAGGCTAGAGTTCTTCCAAAATTGGTGATAAACACTTGCTTGCTGTGTCTCACATGGCTCCTTGCAGAATTCATCAAAACTTTTGGTGAGCAAAACAAAGTTTTTACCTTCATAGATCCAATTTTCTAATGGTAGAATTGGATAGCAAAGAAGTTAACAGATTATTTTCCAATATTGATTAATGCCAGTGAATTCACATTTATTGTGATAAGTTCTGCTTTTTGTTTCTGAATAAAAGGGATTCTGTTGAAATTTATATACTTCTGGATTAATTCAAATTTTGTTTGTAATTCCTCCCCTGAAAAAGATATGGCTATAGGATATTTTTTAAATGTTTAATGTCAATATTACTGCCTGAACTTACATTTAAATATTAATATTGCATTCCAGAACCAAATACTGTAATACCCACTTGAAAAGGAACTCATTTCTTTACTGATTTTAAGGAACTATCAGCTTAGTTGAATCACAGTTGAAATGTATGTACCTTAAAGTTGAGATGTACATTAAGTGTTGGAACAAAGTATCCTGTAAGATGAACTTGTTAGAAATTAAAAAAAATGAGACCTAAAAGTAAGTAATAAAAATACTTGAGCACCTGAACTACTGATTTGAGTTTTATTTAGCCTCTAGTTTTAAGGGTTTGGGAGGTAACTATCATAACCTATTTTTTTATATTTAAGTTGTATTGTGGACTCAGTACCTTTATTTATTTTTACCTGGTGCTGAGGATCAAACCCAATGCTTCACACATGCTAGGCAAGTGCTCCACCACGGAGCTACAGTCACAGGCCCCATAACCTATTTTTTTTGAAAGATAAATCTGGAGATAGTTTATGTTGGGAATGGATTGGTATAAGTGAGACTAGAGGCAGAAAGAGAGACTAACAATAGTAATCCTGAAGGAAATAATAGCCTGAGGACTGTAGAACTCTGAAGATGGAATAGATTTTAAAGGCTGTCTGGTTAGGACATAGTAAGTAATATCAATTGGGAGGACACAGGTCTTTGAGAATGGGGAAATGTTGCTGTCTTGTGTTGGAAGGAGTAAAGCCCATGGATTTTATGGGTTACTTTTCCTGTTGCACAGTTTCATTGTAATGTTAGGACATGATTATAGGTTGTGTCTGTTATTACTGTTTATTGTGTTTCATCACTTTAGGGGTCTAGGATGGTAGATGTTAGTAAGTAAGCCAAATGAAAATTTCTTGGCCTACTGTTTCTGAGATAGGTGCTTGTAACTTAATCTAAACATTAGTTGAGATAATGAAATAGTAAAATTTTAAAAATAACCCCCACATAGTGTTACTTTATATTTTTCAAGTAAAGTTATTTAATAAATTAAGTAAATTATGGTACATATAGTATTTCAAGAAGGAAAGGGAAGCCAAGTGCAGCAGCACATGACTGTAATCCTAGTCACTCAGGATTCTGAGGCAGGAAGATTTTGAGTTCAAGGACAGCCTCAGCAACTTGGTAAGACCCTATTTCAAAAAAATATGGAGGGCTGGGGATGTAACTCAGTGGTAAAGTGCCCCTGGTTCAATCTCCAGTATCCTCCACCTCCAAAAAGGAAAAAGAGGAAAATGTAGTTTTATTAATAATTCATTAATAAATTGTCATTCCCAGCTTTACCTCGGACCACTGAAAACTTGTATATAGTCAGACAACAGTGTGAGTAAATAAATGGTTGAAAAGACTTCTTCTTTATACGAATAGCCAGTAGAAGAAATAATGCCCAGTTTATTAGTAGCATACCCTTGAAACTTTTGGATTTTCTTCAAATTTTTTAAAAGTAGTGTCTTCACACAAATTGTGTGGCAGTATTCTGGCATTATTTTAGAATTTTGTAGTTTTGCATTAGAGTATAAAGAGGATTGCTCTCTGTTTTAAGGCTGACTTCTGTAGAATTCCTTAGTCTTATTTTTTTTTCTTCATTAATCCTATCAGCAGTTTTTCTATTTGATTTGTTCTTTCAAAGATCAACTTCTTGGCTGTTAATTTCCTCCTGCCTTCTTGTGTTATTAAGTGCTTACTTTGTTTATTTTGGGGGTTTTTTTCCTTACATAATAATAAATCATTTACTTTTTCGATTTCTTTTGAGTGTTGTTTTGGGTAGTATTCCACAGCCTTTGATGTGTGAAGTAGTCTTGTTTTGGATGGCTTAAAAACTAAAAATAACAGAATCATTTCTGCCATCATTTTTTATATAAGCCTTGCTCTTTTTTTGCCTTTGTTTTATTCCTTTTCTGCTATTAGGTTAGTTGAATTTTATTTTCTTCTGCTTATACATTCCATTTGTATTCATTTAATAGTTATCCTTAATATGTGAAAAATGCATTTAAATACAGTACAAATTTGATTAGTATCTCTAGTTGCTCTTGGAACATATGGCTTTAAAATGTTGTTTTAACCACAGCACTGCAAAAATTAAAAAAGCCTTTCTAAAAATCTAATCTTGATCCTTTTTGGTTCATAAGTGTGTTGATTGGATGTTCATGCTGTCTGAGATGTGCCTCACTCTAAACCTTGTTACAACACTAGCACATACCCATCTGACAATAAAAAAGAAAGAAAAAACCTGATCTGGCCCTCCCATTATCTGTAATTTGTTGTTTTAGTCATATTATTTTTAAATCCCCAACCAAAGTAATTTATTTTAAAATTCATCCTTATTTACATTAACCAGCACTTTTACTATGTTTTTTCTTTATTGATTTTTAAAAAAAATAAATGATAGCAGAATGCATTACAATTCTTATTACACATATACAGCACAGTTTTTCATATCTACTTTTATTATTCTTGTTCATGGTTACTTCTTGTATTCTACTTCATTGTTCTAAATTGCTGTTTCTTTTTGCTCAATACATACTTCCAACAGTGATCTTTGAGCTGGAAAATTAATCTCTATATTAAAAACATACAGAATTATGTTCTGTGAGTATATACAAGTTTATATATGTTCATTTCCAGCACTTTGAAGATAATGTTTGCTTTCTGGGACCTGTTGGTGAAAATTCTGATAGTAGTTGTCATTTCTTCATAGGTTATCTAGTCTCTGCAGTAACTTAAGACTTTTAAAATCCTAATTTTGGTCTTATTTTTATGTTTTAGAATTTCAAGGAATGTATTTACAACTGTGAGTTCATTCATTTAGGATGCTGTGTATCCTCATTGTGAGGATTTGTGTGTTTTGAATTTAAAAAATATTTGAGGGCTGGGGTTGTGGCTCAGTGGTAGAGCATTTGCCTAGCATGTGTGAGGCACTGGGTCTGATCTTCATTACTACATAAAATAAATAAATAAAGATGTTGTGTTTATCTACAACTAAATTTTTTTTTTTTTTTTTTAATTTTGAGTATTGGGGCTGGGGCTGTAGCTCAGTGGTAGAGTGCCTGCCTCGCAAGTATGAAGCACTGGGTTCAATCCTCAGCACTACATAAATAAAGATATTGTGTTCATCTAAAACTAGAAAAATAAACAAATTTTTAAAAATTGACTATTTCTTTAAAATGTTTCTTTTATGCTTTTTTTCTTTCTTTGGTGGGGGGGTCGTTTGTGGGGTTTTTTGGTATGAAATGCTTTTTGTTTTGTTTAATTTTGTGTGTGTATGCCAGGGATTGAACTCCAGAGAACTTAACCACTGAGAGCAACATCCCCAACCCTTTTTATTTTTTGAGACTAGGTCTCACTAGGTTCCTTACAGCTTCCCAAGCAGCTGGGATTATAGGCATGGGTACCTGCAAGGGTACTGGGTTTTAAATCCAAAAACTCTTTTATCACTGAACCACATCCCTAGTCTTTTTGAGATGGGATCTTGCTAAGTTGTTGAGGCTGTCCTTGAACTTGATCCTCCTTCCTCAGCCTCCCTAGTCACTGGGATTATGGATATGCATCACTGCCTCTGGCTGGTCTGGAACATCTCTTAGCTTGATTTAGCCGCTCTTATTCTCTTTAGTTTGCTGTTCAAACTGTCAGTTGAGTTTACTTTAGTCAGCGCTTTTCTTTCGTGATTTGTGTGTGGTAACTTTTAGAAACAATTTGTTAGCCTCGTTGGACAATTTTAATATACTTATTTTCAAATAGCTTTAAAGTCCTATTTTGTAGCTTCTTGAGGACAGGTTCTTCTTCTGTTTGCATCTGCATACTGCCTCTTGAAGGCCTGTATTCTTGTGTGATTTTATAGTCTTCAACAGTGAACTCATGGGTCAGGGGAATCATGTTTTCCTTAAGATTCTTGTGATACATGAGCTGTGGAAGTATCTCTCCAATACAGTTTCTCCTTATCTTCTAAAAAGACCACTGGAATCTAGATGAATTCAGATGTCATATTATTAGCAATGAGGTTTCTGGACATAAGCTGGTAATGTGAACTTGGAAACTTTTAGCTGAACATGGGTCAGGACTTTGCTTTCAGTTTCTTTCTAAGGTCTCAAGCTTCTTAGTCAGTTTTCTGACTGATAAATCAAAATTCTCTTGGTACTGCCCTGATATCGACCTCCTATTTCCTTGAGTAGGGCTGGTTGCAGTGCTAGGAACTAAACCTGTGGCCTCCTTACACATGCTAGTGAGACCTTAGCCACTGACCTACACCCCCTTCTTTTTTTAAACTTTGAGACTAGGCTAACCTTGAATTTGGCAGTCCTCCTGCTCAGCTTCCTGAGTAGCTGGGATGCCCCACCATACCCAGCATCCTTTTTGGTTCATAGAAACTTTGGCAATATGGTGAAGCATATGGACTCCTCATAACACATTTTTAAAGCATTTTCTTTCTTTTTTTAGTTGTAGGTGGAGAACACAATACCTTTATTTATTTATTTTTGTGTGGTGCTGAGGATCAAACCCAGTGCCTCAGACATGTTAGGCAAGTGCTCTGTCACTGAGCTCCATCATAACACATTTTGTTTAAAAATGCATAAAGTAAAATATATTGAATTATTGAAAGGAAACCAAATATGTTGAAATGGTTATTTAAAAAAATATAAATATTGTGGCATAGTAACGTGCACTTCTTTATTGATGATTTAAATAAGATTTAGCTGGGTGCAGTGGCAAACATCTGTTATAAGAGGCAGGAGAGTTACAAGTTTGAGATCTGCTTTGGCAACTTAGTAAGAACCTGTCTCAAAATTTTAAAAAGGCTGAGGTAAAGTGCCCCTGAGTTCAGTCCTCCATATGATCAGTCAGTTAAGCAGCAGGTATAATACTGTCAAAGTTTCAAAGTAATGATGAACATAAAGGTACTTCTAAGATATGTTACCACTGTAATATGATAGGTAAATCAGTTTGGAAAGGTCTTCATGCCATAGTCACTGCTTGTGTTTTATAAAACATGTATAAAAGACTTACAAGTCTTTTCTTCCCCCGAACTTTGACCAGGGAATCTTGTAAAAGTAATACTGAGTAATCATAATCATGAATTATTAGGATTCCTAGAGAAATATTTTAGAAAAACTGCTTTTTTTGTAATTTTACATTATGTTTGTGCATTTAGCAACACTGAAATGAAAGTTTCAAGATAACTCTTTCCAGTATTTTCTATCTTAAAATCTCATCCTGAAATTATATCTAGGAATAGTAGGTATTCAGAATTATACTAGAATAAATATAAAATATAGAAACTTTATTTCCAATATTAACTTACTATTTTTAGATATAGTCTAGTTTTCAAGAAAATAAACTAATGGTCAAATGATTGTACATTTTCTTTCAGTATTTAATGTATTTATATATATTGCTTTCTTTTCTGTGCATATTTATTTTAATTGTATATACTTTGGAGGGGGGCAATTACCGGGAACTCAACCACTGAGGCAGTCAGTCCTGTTTTATATTTTATTTATAGACAGGGTCTCATTGAGTTGCTTAGCACCTTGCCTTTGCTGAGGCCAGCTTTGAACTCTTGATCCTCCTCCCCAGCCTCTGGGATTATAGGCATGCACCATGATGCCAGGCGCGTGTGCATATTTTTTACATCAGTAAATGAAACATGGCATTTTAAATGAAACATGTAAAGTTATGGTATAATTTATTTAACCATTACATTTGATTTTAATATTTATTTTTTAGAAGTAGTTGGACACAATACTTTTATTTTATTTATTTATTTATTTGTTTGTTTATATGTGTTGCTGAGGATCCAACCCAGGGCCTTGCACGTGCTAGACGAGCGCTCTACCGCTGAGCCACAATCCCAGCCCCTGATTTTTAACTTTTCTATATATGGTGGGCTGTGAACATTTGACTCAGATTTTGAAATCTTTCCTGACACATTCCATAATTATTTTGAAGTACTTTCTTGTGGCTCTACTTCTAAAAACTATTTACCAAAGTAAAAGAGTCTAATATTATTGTTAATTCTTGTATACTGCCAGTTTAGGCTATTTTTAGATTAAAGCATGGGGCTGGGATTGTGGCTCAGTGGTAGAGCGCTTGTCTAGCACGGGCCGGACCCGGGTTTGATCCTCAGCACTACATAAAAATAAAGACATTGTGTTGTGTCCATCTACACCTAAAGAATAAATATTAAAAAAAAAAAAAAAGATTAAAGCAGGTAATAACATCTCTGTTTTTGACATTATAAAAGAATAGTCTATTCAGATTTCTAGGATTCTCTCATAAATGAATTTATTTATTTTTCTTTTCCCTCTCATTACTGATCATTGAACCCAATGGTACTTTACCCTATTTTGTTTTATTTTACATTTTTTAAGACATATATATCACTCAGGTGCCAAGTTCATAAATGATTTTAAAGTTTCTTTGATGCAAGATTCAGATTCCAGTAAATTATGTCTTTTAAATTGGGTTTTATAGGTTTCCCCTTTCTCTCTCTCTCTCTCTCTCTCTCTGTAATTTAAACATTTTTATGATATGCTTAGATGTGGTTTTGTGTTTTCTTCCTGCTTGAGTTTTGTAGAGCTTTTTAAATTTGTGGCTTGGTAAAATTTTAAATGAGTTTTCACACGAACTAGACATTATCTCTTCATATATTGCCTTTGCTTCATTCTCTTTCCTCCTCCTAAGACACTGATTACAAGTGCATTGGACATTATCACAGTACCCTGTGATACATTGTTAGGTGTTTTCTATTTTTCTTAACATTTCTTAATTAATTTTTGTATTAACCAGACTACCAGTTCTCTCTTGTCACAACTCTTTTGTTGCGTCTGCGTCACATTCTGAAGTTTCTGTTTGATTCTGGCATATATGTATGTTTTTATGTGTATATTATTTTCTCTGTATTTCATTGAACTTATTAAGTATTTGTTTATTCAAACATTTTAAAAATCCCTTTTATGCCAACTCCAAAATCTGGGTTACTGGGGCTCTGTTTCTTTTGTTTTCAGTACTGTTAGATATTGTAAATTTAAAAGATTTTACAAGCAATGGTGTTTTTATTCAGAGTCTTCACCTCGTTCTCCTGCTAGGCATATATAATGGGGCTGAAAACCTTAGTCCATCTGGGGACTGAGCTGCGTTGTGACCAGATTAGTTTTGATAAAGCTCTACCTCTGGCTCATTCTTGGAATATAAAATTATTTCCCATGCCCACTTT